GAACCCTATTCCTTCCTTCAACATTCCGTACACTTCTAGACCCTCCTTATCCTTGGATTCTTTCCTCAGATTCTGTTCTTCTCTCTCGGCACAAGCAACAGATATCTTCTCCTTGAACCCCTGTAGACCCTCCGTTTCCAGCGTTTCATCTTCGTCGATGTCGAGCCCCTTCCATACGTCCTCTACAACCTTGACCCATTCCGTGGGTTGTCTACCCCTCTTTTTGTTTGCCCACTTCGCCTCCCATACAATTCTCGGCAACCTCTCCTCTCCCATCCCGCACATGCGATACTGCCAGGTCAGCTTCCTCGCGTCTCTTCCCGATTCTGCCCTGACGGCTGCATTACTTGTGCGCCTGGAGCATCCTAGGATGATTTTCGGAGGGGGGGGGGTCTTTCTTCCTCTTCACCTCCTACAATACTCACACGACGTCGCTGCTGCAGAACAAGCACATACGGGGCCATCGAGCTACTTAACATCGTAATCAACAAAAAATACGGTCACAGCCTTTCCTGCGGTTGCTTGTATTGTCGTGCAGCAGCAGTGCACAACGTTCGACCGTCGAACTCCTGGTGACGTACAGTGCTTTCTGGTGGCAATAATCAAAACTCCTCGCGATTGCTTCATAAATCCACGAGCAACTCAAAATCGCCAATAACGCTCCTTCCAAGATAGGAATCCCTTCCGGCTCTGTCAAACACGACCACCAACGCTATCTGGTCACCTTCCCCAGGAGTGCGGACTTGTCCGCCTCGAGCTCCTCTCTCAGCGCTCGGAGGGCGGTGCAGTCTCTCGACAGCCCCTCCCGCCCTTGTTCCGCCTCCTCGAGTCTTGCCTCGGTGTCCGCCTTCCCGCGCCTAGTGGCTTCGAGCTGCGATTCCAGCTGCCAGGGGGGGGGGTTCGGGGAAGAAGGTTAGTGGGTTGTGTTCGGGATGTGGTGTGGAGTTGTGTGTGCCTTTCCGAAGGCGTTCTTGTCCGTGAGGGTATACCCAACTGTATTCTGGTGGAGCAGATTCGAAAATGACTCCTCTATTGCACGCAGTGTTCTTGTTGGGCCAAGTTGGGCATCGACACCTTGGGTGCAGCATAAACGAAACACCATCGTCATCATTCTCATCGGCAGCAACAGCAGCAAAACAACAACTATAACAACCAAGCCAGCAGCAGCAACATCAAGGTCAACCACATCACCACCAACAGTGGTAGCCGGGCTATGACATCCCGACGCTGTCGTTGTTTGACGATACTTATATAATCGGCATCGTCGTTATCGCCAGTCAGGGCGACGTCAGGGACAGCTAAGACGGTTGGTCGCACACGAAGAGCAACCGCCTGCTGGTGCACACAAAACGGTTGGCGACACACACGAAACCACACAAAGCCGCTGTTGATGTCTGTCGTGTGTGTGAGGGGCGAGGGAGAGAACGAGAGAGAGAGGGAGAGAGAGGGAGAGCGGGAGAGAGGGAGAGAGAGAGGGAGAGAGACAGAAACAGAGACAGAGACAGAGAGAGACAGAGACAGAGACAGAGACAGAGACAGAGACAGAGACAGAGAGAGGGACAGAGAGAGAGAGAGACAGAGAGAAAGAGAGAGAATGCGGCCTCTCACCGTGGCCACCGTTGCGGCGAGCTCCTCCCCTTGCTCCCGCTCCCTCCTCGATGCGGCGACTGCCTCGGCGAGGTTCTCCTATTGTCGGAATCCGCAGGAAAAACAAAGTATCGGCAGAGATTCGGCAAGAGCAACACCAAAAAGCGCACGAGCCCGTCACATGGTTGATCAAGTCGGTGTACAGTTGTAGAGAAAACTTGAACGAACGTCGTGGACTGGCGCCTTCAAACTAGCCAGTCGACGAGAGCAGCCAATGCCAACACAACAACTAGAGATACACACCCATCCGGCTAGCACAGTCAATGCTGCTTAAAAAAACACATGCTGCCGCCGTTCGTGTGTCCCGAGATTGTAACGGCACTAAACCGGACACCGGCACTATTCAGAGTACAGAACGACTTGGTATTCCGGTGTGTGCGAGCCGAAAACGCCAGCACTCTACCGGGCGTACCGGCACTGTAGAGCCACCCTCACTGTACGTTGTAAAACAAGCCGCCCCCCTCGGTGTTTGCCATCGGGGTTGGGTTTTCGTCGCTCGGCAACGACGTTGTAAAACAAGCCATTCACGTAGTGAGCTCGGCAACCAGGTTACCGTTTCTTTTTTGTTTTTTCCTCCGTTTTTTTTTTTGGCGGTAACCACAATGGTGGTCGAGTAGATCATGTTGTGCGGGGTCGAG